CCCCCTCAGGGTCCTTCCCCTTCAGGTGTGTCCCAGGTAGGCGCAGTCGAGCCTCTCGAGGTCAGTGGTGACTCTGGTGCTGCTGAGGGTGCTGCCGCTGGGGGTGCTGGGCCTGGGGGTGCTGAGTCTGGGGGTGCTGAGCCTGGGGGTGCTGAGTCTGGGGGTGCTGCGCCTGGGGGTGCTGAGCCTGGGGGTGCTGAGCCTGGGGGTGCTGAGCCGGGGGGTGCTGCGCCTGGGGGTGCTACGCCTGGGGGTGCTGAGCCTGGAGGTGCTACGCCTGGGGGTGCTGAGCGTGGAGGTGCTCCGCCTGGAGGTTCTCCGGGTGCTTCGTCTCGCCGGGAGCCACTCTCTCCACAGGAGCTGCGCGAGTGGTTTGCCCGGCGCTGGCGCCGTACTGCTGGTGCTGGAGGTTCTTCGGCTGTTAAAGGTGCTGGGCCTGCGGGTTCGCTTGGAGCTGGTGCTGCTGAGGGTGTTGGCGCTGAGACTACCGCTGGCGGTCCTGCTGGGGGTGCTTCTGGTACTGCTGGAGGTTCTGGAGCTCCTCGAGGTGCTGCTGGAGCGGGTACTCCTGCTGAGGGTACTGGTGCTGTCCCTGCTGCTTCTGAAGTCGCCACGCGGCCTCGACCGTACTTTGTTCCACTCATGCAGCAGGTTCTTGGTCTTCCACCTTCTACTGGTCCTCCTCCTCCCTTAGAGGGTCCACAGCCTGAACCGTCACAGTTACAGTTGCAGCCTTCCTCCCCTTTGCCTGCTCCTTCTCCTTACACTGGTCCTACTGGAGGTCTTGCTGAGCGTCGTGAGCCTTTGTCCCGCCCTGCGTCGCCTGTCCGTGCTGCTCGCACTAGTGGTCGCAGTTCGCGTCAGCGTCCTCCTCCTGTCCTAGGCACGCACCGGATGTCTCTGCGTCCGTCCACTGCTCCTCTGCGTGCCCCTTTGCCTTTTCCTTCTGAGTCCTCTCTTCCTACTCTTGCTGACCCGGAGTCAGACTCTCTTCGTGGTGCCGGTCCTACTGTCACGCGTCTCCTTGCTATTGTCGTCACTGACCCTTCTTTTGAGTCTACTGCTGCGTCTGCCCTAGTTGCTGAGCTCGTCGACTTTGCTGCTTGCTGTCGCTTAGACTACGCTGCTAGTCTTGTCGTTGAGTCTGAGTCTGTCTGTCCTCCGTCCGTCGGGGGTGAGTGTGCTCTTGGCACGGACGTCCTTGAGGACAGGCAGGAGGAGTTCCAGTGTCTGGCAGCTACTTCACCTTATCTCGTGTCTGTACTGCTTACCCCTGAGGGAGACCCGGATGCGCTTGACATCCCGACTCCGCGCTCTTACGCGGAGGCGATAGAGGGTCCCTACTCCTCTCAGTGGCAGGCAGCTATGGATGCAGAGATGGCTTCCTGGAAGTCCACAGGCACCTACGTTGACGCTGTCCCCCCTCCTGGGGCGAACATCATCAGTGGCATGTGGATCTTCAGGGTGAAGCGGCCGCCGGGTTCTCCGCCTGTCTTCAAGGCGCGTTACGTGGCTCGTGGCTTCAGTCAGCGGCAGGGAGTTGACTACTTTCAGACCTTCTCCCCCACCCCGAAGATGACCACTCTTCGGGTACTACTGCACGTTGCTGCTCACCGTGACTACGAGCTGCACTCTCTTGACTTCAGCACAGCTTTTTTGCAGGGCAGCCTGCACGAGGAGATCTGGCTGCGCCGCCCACCTGGCTTCACTGGGTCGTTCCCTCCTGGTACCCAGTGGAGTCTCCGGCGGCTAGTCTACGGTCTCCGCCAGGCGCCACGTGAATGGCACGACACACTGAGGACGACGCTTGCGGCTCTTGGGTTTGCTCCTTCTACTGCTGACCCGTCGCTGTTTCTGCGCACCGACACCTCTCTGCCGCCGTTCTACATCCTCGTGTACGTCGACGACTTGGTCTTTGCCACAGCTGACACTGCTGGACTCGCCTACGTGAAGTCCGAGCTGCAGAAGAGACACACGTGCACAGACCTGGGTGAACTGCGTAGCTACCTTGGCTTACAGATCACCCGGGACAGAGCACGCCGCACCATTACCCTGACTCAGTCACACATGGTGCAGCAGGTCCTTCAGCGCTTCGGCTTCACGTACTCCTCGCCTCAGGCCACTCCTCTGTCTACTCGCCACTCACTCTCAGCTCTGCCTTCGGATGAGTCCGTAGAGTCGAGTGGCCCGTACCCAGAGCTTGTTGGCTGCCTCATGTACCTGATGACCTGCACACGACCTGACCTTGCATACCCTCTTAGCATTCTTGCACGCTATGTTGCTCCTGGGAGACATCGACCAGAGCACATGGCTGCAGCGAAGAGGGTGTTGCGCTACTTGTGCAGTACGTCGGGCATGGGGCTAGTGCTTGGAGGGCGGAGTCCAGTGGTCCTCACTAGGCACGCGGACGCTTCTTGGGCTGACGACCAGGCTACGCAGCGGTCGTCACAGGGTTACACCTTCAGCCTTGGTTCCGGCTTTGTTTCGTGGCCGGCTACTCGCTCGTCTTCTGTTCTCGGCTCCAGTTGTGAGGCTGAGATCTACGCCGGGGCCATGGCTGCACAGGAGCTTCGCTGGCTCACCTACCTGCTGACTGACCTTGGAGAGCCGCCTCGTTCTCCTCCAGTCCTGTATGTAGACAACAAGGCCATGCTGGCCTTGTGTCGAGAGCAGAGACTGGAGCACAGAACAAAGCACATCGCTCTTCGCTACTTCCTTGCTCGTGAGCTACAGCAGCGTGGACAGTTCCGGCTTGCGTACGTGGCCTCTGAGGCCAACACTGCTGATGTGTTCACCAAGGCACTTGCGCCTTGTGACCATCAGCGCTTCTGCACTCAGCTGGGTCTTGTGCCTGTCTTGCCTCACTTGCTCACTTCTTGACCTTGCTTGTACTGTCACATATGTATACTCCTGCTCTTGCTTGCTTAGCCTCTTATATATATTTATGTGATCTTGCATGTGAACTGGCCTTTTGGCCTTTAAACTTGTGCTCGAAATGTGTGGTGACTTTGTGATCCACCCTGAGCTTTGCTTTGCTTTGCTTGACTGGTCTTGTGACCCCTTGTTCTCCCCCACTTTGCCTATGGGGGTGTGTCAGAACATTATAGCTCATGTTGTTGTGTAGGCTATAGTGGGGTATCCCATAGGGGGTACAACCAAATTAGGGTTTCCTATATGTACTCACTCCGTTCATAGTTCATTCATTCTCGTTCTTATTTTTCACACGGGCCGCGCGCGGCCCTGGCGCAGCCCGTACGGGCCGCGCGCAGGCTGTACGGGCCGCGCGCGGGCCCTACGCAGGTCGCGCGGGCCCTACGCAGGTCGCGCGGGCCACGACGGGCGACGGAGGGCGGCGCGCGCGTCCCCGTCGCCCGTCGCAGCGCCTCCCGGGGGCGACGCGCGGATTGATGGGGCAGAACGCCGCCGCGTGCCTCGGGGCGCACAGCGGGCAGAAAACCGCCGCGCGCCTCGGGGTGCACGGCGGGCAGAAAACCGCCGCACGCTCCGAGCGCGCGGCGGGATGAAAAATCCGTCGCACATCACGGGGCGTGCAACACACAGAGTAGCAGTAGCAGCGGAAGCAGTGAGGTGGTGGGCCCACCCACAGGATCGACCCAAGGGGATCGACCTGCTCTGATAGCATGTGAAAATAGTGAGTAGTATAGTTAAGATCAGGAGCCATAGCTAGGAGAGTCCTAGGTAGGCAAGAGACAGTTTAAGCAAAGAAGGAGGAGGTTCACTAGAAAGCAGCAGGATACATATAGGAAACCCTAAGGGGCTGTACTCGCTATATGAGTACCCCACTGCAGGCTAGAGAACAATCACATTCCGACACTGACCTCGTACGGAAGAAAAATAGAACCTCATCGGATGGCATCAACTAAACATCATGCGACAAGGTGTTTAGGTTTAATGCCATTCTGACTGGATTCCTTTTATCAGGAGAGTTATTTTTTATTTGCCTGTGGGTAGCAGGCTACGTTAGGCGGTGTCGTTTGTCATAGCAGATAATCATGAGCACTTGATAATCATAAGCACTTGACCTCATAATATGATTTCGTGTAATCATACATTACATATAGGGTTATCCAAGCGTTTTATTATGTTTTCTTTTTTGTTGGGTATGTGCGGAGCTGCTGGTGGCGATATTGTTTCATGATTGTGCTTATAACTAGAGACAACATTATTTGTAGTTACTATACTGCGAACGTTTTGGTTGATTACGTTTGCAAACCGCTCCTGGCATAATTTGAGTATCAATGAAGTTGGCCAAAGGGCATCTGAGGTGCGAAGGGCCAAACCGATTCCCCCCCATCATCCCGCCTTCACGCCGTCGTCACATCACAATCCACCCTTCTCAGCATTAGAAGGGTCCTTCACCACTGTCGACGTCGTACACGTGGCTGACCAGGGAGCACGCGAGTCAAGCGCTTTGGGATGCGTAGGTGCCACGCGTGGAGCCGCTGGTTAGACGGTAAGCATACGTTGCCTGGCTGGGCACTGATCAGTCCGTATCGCATGAGCAGCCGCGACGCGGCGTTGATAGGAGTCGTCACAGAAACCCGTGGATGACACTCCCGAAGGACCGCAGAAACCCGTAGTCACCTGCCAGGGCACTGCCGAAAGTGACTGGCTATTTTTTATTGCATTCGCTAATCCAAGTGACGCCGAAAATGGTCAAGCGTTTTATTCGAGCCAGGTGACGCAGCACAGAATTTTCAGCGCTTTTCCTACAGACTTGTCAGACTCGTATGGCGGCGCAGCTTTTGCTTGAAGCAAGCCAGCACGGCATGATGATAGCACATCAGAGTGGCGCGCTTGCTGACTCAAGTGGTGCTGCGTTCGCTCTCCTTGCAAGCCGATTCAAGCACAGCGACTTGTGGGGAAAAGAAACGTTGGCCAACCCAGGACGGACGGGTAACTTGTCAAAGAGTCGTTCCAGGTGCATATTACAGAGGCGGGTGCAGAGTCGTATCGAGGAGGATGGCTTTTTGCGGACTATGCGGCGCACACGGAGAAAAGGAGGACAAGACTCGAGGTGTGGAGATTATGAAAGTGTTCGGGCAAAGAGGCACGATGACGATTACGTGGAGCAACTCGGTGATAGGGAGTTTGGAAGATGGGCCTGTGTTGGTGAGGCGGATAGAACCCTGACACCTCCGTCGTCCAAGTCTCCTCTTGAGAAGGCAGCTGCTTTGGCTTCTGGTTGGGTTGCTGACCTATCAACGTCAGTGGCTGAGTCCGTTCCACGCACGTTGGACCAGGCTAGGTGAGTTCCTGTCTTGCTGCTACCGCACCACACTTTTTGCCATCCACGACTTTTGCATCCTTGGTACATCCTCGACTTAACCCACAGTGCTTGCCCTCCCGCCCTGCAATCATCGTCCTTGACTGACTTATTCGGGAATGGCTTTCAGTTGAGTGGTGCCAAACTCCCTGCCGCCCACAGGTTGAGGGTTTCAACCGGAGTGGCGTCCCTCCCTAATCGCCTGCACCGATCGCTACCTTCCATCGCGTCCCTTCACTTCCAACGCCTCCCTCTTCTCCTCTTCTCCTCGTTCATTTTCCTCCTCCTGCTGTACCGCACAATCAACTGCATGTTCCTCGCAGCTTCCTCTGCTGTGCGTTATTTCCTCGCACCACGACATGCTGCAACTCCTGAATCGAGCTTGGAGCAGGAGGAGAAAAAGGCTGAGCGCATGGCACGACAGCAAAACCGGAAGAAGAAGAGCCAAAGTGGAGCTGGTAATGCTGGTCATGATTCAACAGATGCTAATGTGGTTTTGGCACCTGACAAGAGGTTGGAAGGCGTTATTAGAAGGTTGGAGTTAGCAAACATCGAAAAGGAGAGACGTATTGCTAAGCTTGAGGAAATGCTGAGGGCTGCCAGTGAACGTCCCGGTGTCCTCGAACGGGAGGGTAACTCCACAGTTCCGTTGGTTGCCGAAAACAGGAACGACCTGTCAGGGTTCATAGAGCAGGTGGTGGTGCCCTGGTACACATCACCTACCATACAAATGGCGTGGCGATTATGGAACAGCCCGTTTGGTGTTTATGGGAAAACTCTCCGCGACGAGAAAGACAGAAGTTTCACTACGAAATATTCGTGTGTGCAGGAGGAAAGCGTTAATGAGGTGGTTCGAGCGATAAGGAGGATGAAACGGGCTATGCGTGCCGTTGAAGTTTTGCACCCAAGCAGTACAGAGGAGGATATAGACACCACTATAAGAAAGCTGGACAACATTGCCGCAGCTCTTGGGTTAGTCACCCTTTGCGATGGCCTCACCATTTTGAAGACTGGATCATTTCCAGAGGCACCTATTGTAGGGGGGAGACATACGCTGGCAGGGAATGTGAAGCTCACGAGGACCCAGGAAAAACAGCTCACTGTTGTTAGGCATCTAGTGGAGCAAGGCCTAGTTGATGAAGCCTTAGCAGCTGAGACGTTTCCAATAGCATGGAATGAGCAAGCACCGTAGTAGAAGTTGCAGCAGTGGCACGTTGGCAATACCGTAGTAATTGTAGATTGTCACTTGGCAGCCATGTATACTGCTGCAAATGTAATTACCTTTTTTTTCATGATTCAGCACGCTGTTTGATGAAGTATTCCCCTCTTCACTTTTTCCCATCCTGAATGAAGAAATCAACCTGTTTGTGACAGGAATGCAAAATTCTCAACGTATAATGTGTGAAAGTAATGAACAGGAATGAATTGACTAAGGAAAGATTGGGGTACAAATACAACCCTAGAAACCTGTACCCCATATGTGCTACCCCACTATAGCCTACAGCAACTATGTCATATAAATCTGACACACCCCCATAGGCAAAGTGGGGGAGAACAAGGGGTCACAAGACCAGTCAAGCAAAGCAAAGCAAAGCTCAGGGTGGATCACAAAGCCACCACACAGTCCGAGCACAAGGTCAAGGCCACAAGGCCAGTTCACATGCAAGACTAGACACACATATATATATATATATATATATATATATATATATATATATATATATATATATATATATATATATATATAAGGCTAAACAAGCAAGAGCAGGTATATATATATATATATATATATATATGCAAGAGTACAAGCAAGGTCAAGAGGTGAGCAAGTGAGCTAGGACAGGTACAAGTCCCAGCTCAGTGCAGAAGCGCTGATGGTCACAAGGCGCGAGTGCCTTGGTGAACACATCAGCAGTGTTGGCCTCAGAGGCCACGTACGCAAGCCGCAACTGTCCACGCTGCTGTAGCTCACGAGCAAGGAAGTAGCGAAGAGCAATGTGCTTCGTTCTGTGCTCCAGACGCTGCTCTCGATACAAGGCCAGCATGGCCTTGTTGTCTACGTACAGTACTGGAGGAGAACGTGTCAGATCATTATAGCTGATGCATGTTTGTAGGCTATAGTGGGGTAGCACATATGGGGTACAGTTTGCTAGGGTTGTATTTGTACCCAACTCTGACTTAGTCAATTCATTCCTGTTCAGTTAGTTTCACATGGTATAGAGCGGGTCCCTCCTAAGGACCGTTCTTTGGGCCCACCCACGATTTTTTTTTCCTGCCCGGAGCGCGCCCTATTCTCCCCGAGGCGCGCTCCCCCTAGTGCGCGTCGAGCTGCCCTTGTGGCGCCCCGAGAGTCGCGCGCGCGACTCATTTTTTTTTCGCGCGCGCGGTTCAGGCCCCACTTCGCGCGGCCCTTACAGCCGCGCCGCGCCGCCCTCTCGGCTCTGCCGCGCCGCGCCGCCCTCAAGACGGCCGCGCGGCCTCTTCGTCGCTGCAGCAGGCCCCCCCCCCCCCCGCTGCACCTCTGTCGGCCCCGCAGCCGCCTTACCTGACGGCCGCCGCCTCACCTGACGGCCCGCCGCCTCGACTTCTGGCCCGCCACCTCACCAGACGGCCCCCCCGCCTCACCTGACGGCCCACCGTCTCACCTGCTGGCCCGCCACCTTACCTGACGGCCCCGCCGCCTCACCTGACGGCCCGCCGCCACCTTACCTGACGGCCCCGCCGCCTCACCTGACGGCCCGCCGCCTCACCTACTGGCCCGCCACCTGACCTGACGGCCCCGCCGCCTCACCTGACGGCCCGCCGCCTAACCTGCTGGCCCGCCACCTCACCTGACGGCCCGCCGCCTCACCCGCTGGCCCGCCACCTGACCTGACGGCCCCGCCGCCTCACCTGCTGGCCCGCCACCTGACCTGACGGCCCCGCCGCCTCACCTGACGGCTCGCCACCTCGCCTGCTGGCCCGCCACCTGACGGCTCCGCCGTCCCCTGTCCCGGCCCCGCCGCTGCACCCTGACGGCCCCGCCGTCCCCTGTCCCGGCCCCGCAGCTGCACCCTGACGGCCCCGCCGAGCCGCCCAGCAGTAGCCGAGCCGCCCAGCCGCAGCCGAGCCGCCCAGCGGCAGCCGAGCCGCCCAGCAGCAGCCGAGCCGCCCAGCAGCAGCCGAACCGCCGAGCAGCAGCCGAGCCGCCCAGCAGCAGCCGAGCCGCCCGGTACCCGAGACGCCCGAGCCGCCCGAGCCGCCCGAGCCGCCCGAGCAGCCCGAGCCGCCTGCTGCTGACCTACCCGACTCTCCCATCCTGGTGAGACTTTCAGCTGCTGCCATGGCCACCCCCAATGTTCTCACTTTTGACGCTGAGGGGAGGGCCATTGACTTTGCCGTCTGGATCGAGGACCTGCAGCTGTACTTACTGTGTGATGCGGTAGATGAGGTCTCTCTCTTTGACTTTGTCTCTGGCGCTGTCCCTGCCCCGCCTGCTGATGCTGACTCTGCCGTTCGCTCCAAGTGGGCGACCCGCGATGCTGCTGCACGTCTTGCTGTGCGTCGCCACCTCCCTTCCTCTGAGCGTGCCCACTTTAGTCAGTGCAAGACCGCTCAGGCCTTGTACGACGCTGTAGTTGCGCGCTACTCCTCCCCTTCCTCCGCTACCCTTAGCCGCCTCATGCTACCGTTTCTCTTCCCTGACCTCGCTTCCTTTCCCACTGTCGCTGACCTCGTTACCCACCTCCGCGCTAGTGACACCCGCTACCGCGCTGCCCTTCCTGCTGAGTTCCGCGCTGCGAACCCTCCTCCCATGTACATCACTCTCTACTTTCTCGTCACCCGTCTCCCTGAGTCCCTTCGTGTCGTTAGGGACCAGTTTCTCTCTGTCTGTCCCACCACTCTCACTGTCGACCTCCTTGAGGAGTCCCTGCTAGCGGCTGAGAAGAGTATTGTCGCTGTAGGGGCCTCTCGGGGTGACCCTCGCACCCCCATCTTTGAGGGGTGTGGTCCCTCCCCCCTGCTGCCCTCTGTCGCCTCTGCCGCTGCGGCCGACCTCGTTGGCTTTGAGTCGGTCGGCGCGGCGTCTGCCCCCAGTGGCAGACGCCGCACTGGCAAGGGCAAGGGGGGCAAGGGAGCGGGTGGAGCCAGAGGGGGCGGTGGAGGAGGCGGTGGGGGTGGAGGGGGGAGTGGGGGTGGCGGGGGGGGTGGTGGCGGGAGTGGAGGTAGTAGTGGCGGCGGTGGAGGCGGAGGTGGCGGCGGAGGTGGTAGCGGAGGAGGCGGTGGGAGCGGTGGGAGCGACGGTCCTGGTGGGGGAGGTGGCGGTGGCGACGGGGGTGGCGGTGGAGGCGGGGGTGGCGGTGGAGGAGGGGGTCGGAGTGGCTCGTCCCAGCGGAGCAGCTCTGGGGGTGGTCAGCGCCAGCAGCAGCAGCAGCAGCAGCCACAGCAGCAGCCGCAGCAGCAGCAGCGCTCTCGCACCGTCCCCGGCCCTCAGCAGCTCCGTGAGTGGTACTTGCAGCGTCAGCGCGGTGGTGCGCTTGGTCCCTGCCCCTACGTTCTTCGCACTGGTGACCGTGCAGGGGAGAGGTGTGGAGGCGCCCACACAGCCCGTCGCTGCTTTGGCCGCCTGACCGACGCCTGGCGTCAGCAGTTTCCGGAGGCCGCTGAGATCCCCCGCTGGGGAGAGCTGTCTAGGGCTGGTGTAGCTATTTATGATCTTGATTTTGATGCTATTCTCTCTGCTATGTATGCTGTGACTGGTAGTGATGAGGATGACTGTTACCGGTGTTTCCCGCCCGACCCGGGCATTGGTACTGCCGCGTCAGGTACTAGTGAGGCTGCTGCTCTAGGTGCCAGTGCGTCTGTGCTTTCAGGTACTGGTGAGTCCGCCCTCTCAGGTACTGTGTCGGCTTCGGCCTCTCACACCTTCACCCTTGACTCTGGAGCGTCTCGCTCCTTCTTTAGGGACCGCACCACTCTCACGCCGCTGAGTCGGCCTGTTGCGGTGTCCCTGGCGGACCCCTCTGGGGGGCCTGTCCTGTCTCGCTTCTCCACTGTCCTCCCGTGTCCGGCGGCCCCCTCTGGCACCCTAACTGGTCTCTACCTCCCCTCGTTCTCGACGAACTTGGTGAGTGGTGCTGACCTCCAGGATGCAGGTGTCCACCAGTTCACCCCTGCTCGTCAGCGGGTGACCCACTGTACGGAGGCGGATACAGGTCGCCACCTGGCTACGTTTACACGTCGGCCGGGGTCGAGCCTGTACACACTGACCACTGCTTCTCCTCCAGGTACTGCGTCTGGTAGGGCCCCTTCGTCTGGTCAGGTGTTTGCTGCAGCGTCCAGGTCTGGTCCTGAGTCTGCCCCTTGTTCGTGTCGTCGTCTGTCTCACGAGACCCTCCTCTGGCACCACCGCCTTGGCCACCCCTCTCTGCTTCGGCTCAGAGGCATGGCCTCGCGGGTCCTTGTGTCTGGTCTTCCCCGGTCCCTCCCTCCCCTTCCTCCGGGCCCTGGCCCTGCCTGTGTCCCCTGTGTCGAGGGGCGCCAGCGTGCTGCCCCTCACTCCTCCCAGTTTCCTCCGACAGAGGCCCCGTTGCAGACGCTTCACATGGACGTGTGGGGCCCAGCCCGCGTCCGTGGACAGGGTCAGGAGCGCTACTTCCTGCTGGTGGTTGACGACTACTCGCGTTACACCACAGTCTTCCCCTTGCGCAGCAAGGGTGAGGTCACTCAGGTGTTGATCGACTGGATCCGCGCAGCTCGTCTTCAGCTTCGGAGAAGCTTTGGCTCTGACTTCCCTGTCTTGCGTCTGCACTCGGACAGAGGCGGAGAGTTCTCCTCTGCCCTCCTGAGTGCCTACTGTCGTG